TCTCTGCTGAGTCTCTTCATAGAGAAGGGTTGAGCCTTATGCTATTTGGACACTCATCTGCCATACTGGAAGGGCAGGCTGGCGGCAGCAACAGTGGGAACAGCGGCCAGGCTGGAGCAGTTGCAGAAAAGCTCATCCAAGCAGCCCTGAGCCCCCTTTACATCCCTCTCCCGCTTTGCACACCCAGGGCACCCCGAGGCCCAGGACCTCCTCTGGGGAGAGAATGTGGGCACAGGTCCCCCAGGCTGGCCCCTCCCTCCAAATCTGGAGCCTGGAGTCTGGCTCCGACCTGGTGAGGCCCCACTCCCAGGAAAGCAGGGCCTTGTCCGGGCCTGACCCAGGGCAAGGAGAACCTTGTGTGGTGACTGGCCCTCCATGCCAGGGCCTGCACATTTGGCCTTCTGGATCTAATGCCCGGATGAAGCTTGCAGGTTTTGGTAATAGATTACCTGGATAATGACCTAATGACAGATGGATTTAGTGACTGTCATGGGCAAGTGCTCAGTTACTTCCACCCCATTCAACAGATAAAGAATTGGAGGCTCAGAGGGGGAAAGAAGCTTGTCCAAGGCCACACAGCTAAAGAATAAAATCACTGAGACTCGAACCCAAGTCCCCAACCAGCTTATAAACGAATATAGAGCTGTAAATGATTATAGAGAAATAAAAGCACTAATGGTTAAGAGCGAGTGTGTGACACACTGATCTAAGTGTGTGACACACTGATCTAAGGGCCTACAGTGGAGTCCACCTCAGTCTTGCAGTGATAGCCATCTTACCAAGGTAGGAAACAGGGAAACAGGCACCGAGTCTGACTTAACTAGCATTCGGAAGTTCCCCAGGCAGGAAGGGTGGCCCCGACTCTAAGGGCTTTGGTGGTCTGGAAGAAACAAGCCTTGTCAGTGAGATTAGGGGAGCCCTGGGTTGCCTGGACACGCATGTGTAGATGTTCGGTGTAGGCAAACAGAGAGGGAGGTGGTACCTTGGGCTCCCTATTCTCACCACAGCAGCAGACACACACACACACACACACACACACACACACACACACACACACACACACAGGGGTGAATGCCCCTTTCTCTTCCCTGAGATCTGGGACTAGGGTTCGGATGCCTTGTCTCTGGTGCACAGAGATACAGCCTTGAAGCAACAAACTATGGGTGCGCCAGGTCTGTAAGTCACTCCTGTCACAGACAGATTCTCTATGCGGGACTGCCCAGAGTTCTCTGGGGCTGGACATGGGAGCAGGTTTCCTCTGCCAGCCTCGGAGAAAACAGAATCTCCCAGCTCTTAAAGGGACAGACCCCAACATCTGTTGCAGAGATGGGAGCCCATACCAGCAGAATTCAGCCTAAGGCCATGCCTGTACTGCCCAACCTCAAGATCATTGTGTGCCCAGCCTGGGCTAACGATGACACAGGTCCCTGCTCCAGGGCTACAACTGACCTGTCCCCGAGTTTCACGATCTCAGCACTATTGACTTGGGGGCCTGGATAATGATCTATTTCTAGGGGCTACCTGGTGCATTATGGGATGCTGGCCTTGGCTTCTGTCTGCCTGATGTTAATTTCACCCCTCTCATGGGCTGTAGCAACCAAATACTTCTGAGAAATTGCTAAAGTATCCGCTAGGGCGAGACCCCTAGGACATAGCCTCATTGTACAAACGAGGACACTGAGGCAGGGAAAGGGCCAGCGCTCGAGGCCAAGGGCAGCAGAGCTGGGCACAGCTGCTCTTGGACAGTGCTGACGTATTTATCCCGGCGGGCACAACGGGCAGGTTTGCATGTCACTTCGTAGAATGTGACTGAAAGAAGACGGTGAGTGTGGGTTTTTCCCAGAGAAGTGCAGGTATCGGGAATACACCCTGGTGTCAGGCCGACGGAAACAGGCTTTGTTTGGGAGTCCTGATGTTTAGTGCTGACATCTGCAGAGAAGCCAAGTCACGGGAGACGGTGACGCCCGTCTGTGGCCTGTCATTGAGGTTCACAGTGCAGCAAGCGGGGAAGGGGGTGGGGGTGTGAGCTCTCGCTCCTCACTGGGCCAGTGTGTGCTGATCCTCTGCCCGGCGCAGACACTTGTCCTGTTTGATGCCACTCCCTGGGCTGGAACAGGGACGCAGAGAAAGCTGAGGGTCAGCCCTCTTCCCTGGCACTTACAGGTTATGGGCAGCCATGGGCACATCTGCACATGTGTGTGCGTGCACACATACACATATTCCCACACGTGTACACACACACACACATATATATACACTCACACACACATATACATACATGCACAAACTCACACATACGTACACACAGACACACACTCACACCCGACTGGAATGAGATGTCAGTGTCCCCGAGGTTCAGCAGTACAATGCAGGGCTGTGAAGAGGGAGTGGCCCTTGTATCTAGGGAAAGAGAGATGATGTCAGGGAAGAGGAGGGGGCCACACAGGCCTGTTTTCTATTTGCTGTTGCTTTGGGAGAGTGAGGGGTTGGTTGGTAGGTTGGTTTTATTTTATTT